GGGCTACAAAAATACAATGTTATTTGGAAAAACAAGTCACTAGCCCTACTTACACACTTCCCACTGTGGTTAAACACATCCTTTGACAAGAATAAAAACCTCATGCATTTAGGATTACTGTCAAAAGCCAGTGATAATGACTTCCATGTATTTCTTTTCCCCCCCTCTCTAAATCTCAAGACAATTTTAAAACTGTATTGCTGCTTTCCTCTAGGTACTGTAGTCCTAAGGGAAACTTTAATAATATAATTGAAAAAAAAAAATAGAAAGGTGAAATGTACCCTCCACCATCATACACTCATTTTAATGTCTTTCTTCCCACTTTAAGTCAATTTTAATCACACTGACTAAATTCACTTGAGTCCATATTTCACTCAGATAACTTTAGAGCATCTCTCTTATCTTCTCTCCCCCATAATTCAGTTTGTCACTGTAATGTTTGTCACAGGTCTTTATTTTTACCCCCCACCATTTTGCCTCATTTACCATAGTAATATGCCTGAAAACAATCACACTGATATTTTAATAATTATTAATAAATTAATCATATTATTATAATATCACTGCTGATAATCCACTTTAACTTGTCTGACAAAGAACTGCTGTAATGAAATAGTGACTAATAATGAGGCTTTGCGACATGGCATAGTCACTAATTTGTCTAGAAGAAATGGCATTTTAGGGCATCTTCTGTCTTTCCCATTTCATTTGAGATAACCATAATGATTTGGTTAGCGCAAGACCTTAGAGTCCTTAGATGGCTACTGGTCCATTATGTTTGGAAGCACTTCCCTAAATAGGGTATGAAATCATATATTCATTTTTTACAGAGACACTAATGGGGAGCAAACAATGACAGCTGAACTTAACGCTACTCAACATTTAAATTTAGCAGAGGAATTTCCATCCTAAATTCAGAAAATATCTTCTTAAAGATAAACACTGAAATATATTGAAAATGCATATTATACATGAACTATTTTATTATTAACCTTGTCTGACATCCAGTAAACACTTCAGGAAAGCTCTTTTGGTCTCTACTTCATTGATTTTAATGGAAATCAGAGACCTATTCTATGAAGTACATATAGAAGGCCATATACCACAATACAAGTAATTTGGCACACATCCATAAGTCTTGAAAGGAGAGGCACTTAGAAGTGTGAATGTGAATTGCTTTGCAATCTGCAGTGTGGTAATATAGCTGTCAACCATATTTCATGTTGTGCAGGACTAGGGATAGAAAGCATATCTGAAAGACATGATTTTTAACTCACGGAGACTCAATGACTGACATGCAAATACCTTTTTTTTTCCTACTGGGGTCTAAAAAGCCCTGTGAAGAAGTGCAGTAAAGAAGACTGTCTTTCATAGAATGTGAGGAACTTACCTAAAATTTGGTTGAAATATGAAAAAAATCCTTCTACAGAGGTGCATAAAATATTTAAGAAAAAGAAGATCAATGCACTTGCATACAGCCAGAAAAGTGAAAGTTAGTGGTTTTGGAATGGAGGGTCTGTGACTCTCTAAAAGGTTTCAATTCCTTCTGAATTTGCACCCTTGAGTTTTACTTTGGGTTATGGGGTGAAAAAAATTATACTCAAAACAATACCTATCAAGCTACCAAGATGCTCTTTTCTTCAAGATGAAATCATTAAAAACCACCAAGTCTTGGCACCATTTCTACCTGAAATTATCTGTTCTGTGAGATTCTCTGTAGCCATTTACCTTCACTGCAAAGTCTACAAATTTTGGCATATCTCATCTGAGTTCTAGTTTTTACCAGATCATGAACACATGAAAATCCCTACTTGCTTCTGCTTTCGTTATGAAAGTTTCCCCACTATTTATACTTGGCCATCTAAATCAGACAGTAGTGCTGAATTAATGTATTACAGTAATCTGTAATGTGTTAATTCATTTGTAATGCACCTACATCCATCTAAAAAAAGACATATTGGACTTCTGTAGCAAAATAACATGATTTATGTGAAAACATTTATTTTCTTGTACAACTGGTTATCTCATTTTCGACTACTGTTTTATGTGTTACGTGTTCTGAGCAAGCCATCAGATTTCTCTATGGTCCAGTTTCTTCAGGTAAATGCTATCAGGATAGTATTTACTTACCTCTGTAAAGATGCATAGACAATTTAGGACAAATGACATAAATACAATTGTTGCTTTGTGTTCTAACCATTGTATAAGCCATATGTAGGACAAAGAGTAAAGCATTCACAAAGCAGACATTTTAAAATGAAACAGGTTTTAAGCACTCAGATTCTGGAATGAGGTGAGGTTTTGAGTTATATATCCAGTAATATTGCAGGGAATGCAATATTGCTGCATAGATGGAAGTAATCTTTCAAAAACCTCTTCACCTCTAGAAACCTTAGAATTTAATAACCACTTCAAATTAGTCCAATTCAGGATGTAATTCAAATAACTTTCCTCAAGAAATGATAAAGAAAATACTCCTGCACGTTTGTTGTCCTGTAGCTCCTACCCCATACTCAGTACATGTTTCATTTTATATCTCCCTGCTTTTCAGAACTCAATTATAATTTTTAAAATAAAGTTTCAAATTGCTAAGAAGGAACCCAATGCATTTGATAGTGGCTAAAGCCAGGGTCAGTGTCTGATTTGCTGGCACCTTCCCAGGCACGAGACATGTTTTCCCCTGGGGTCATCAGGTCCAGGCAAGCTGCATTCTTTCTGCCAGGCACTTTGTAATGTGCAATGAACAGTGTCATTTATTTTCATTTCCTCATACTTAATTGCATGCTTCTTGCTTCCAATATTAAGTCAGAAGGCAGGTGGTAGAAGCAGTAAACTAAACTACTACTAGCTGTCGGAATTACGGACCATGCTACTCTCCTTTTGAAACAACCCAATTGTTTACAATTCAGCAGAAACTGCTGAACTGGAAAAACATTTGCTTCCATTGCACATTCAATAGAGATTTTTTCTTTTATTCTGAAAAAAAAGAAAGCCAAAAAATGCTTACCAAACATACCCTACTTAAATTTATCAACACTTTATCACAGTAGTAGGAAGAAATATATAAAGTTACTATTTTTTGTAAATGCATCAAAAATACTTTTAAAGTATAGATGGATGCCTGCTTTAGCCAAACAACATGTCTAAAATAGTACTTCTGGAATTAATTAATTCAGCAGTAAGCTAGTTAAAAATTTAATGGTCATGCCTGAATATAGAAAGAAGACATTAATTAGGTATGCAAAGTTTACGGTTACTGTATTTGGAATGAAATTATTTCATTCATTGCAGAAACTAGCATTTATTTAATTTTCACCTCTTATAATTAACAAAATAAAGTTTTATCAAAGACCTCACTACAGAACTTATTTAACTTCACCTTCATGATGCACCTGTACTTCATTTCTGAAGTATTTTATAGATGGGTCACCTAGATTTAGGTGATTTAGATCAAGTCAGATTTATTGGCATATTTATGTCACTTATTGCATTCATAAGTAGAACTTTATAAGGTACAAGAACTTTCTCAAGTAGTAACTTTCGCAACAGATTTGTGTTATTGTTGAAATATTCTGCTGAAACAGATACTAAAATCACTCCACACTGCTGTTAAAAATGACATAGGGGAAAAACTAGAGTAACAATACATATACATATGATCCTTCAAAAATTATTATATTATTATTATTTTATTTGTTATGATTTATATTTATTTAATGTATTAATTATATTAATTATTATATTTATTATATTAAAATAATTTTAAAAATTTATCACTCCAGTGACTACACAAGTGTTTTAATAAGAAAGGAGGTGCCAACTATTCCTTCTGAAATTATCTAATAATGCTAAATCATAAATACAGGATTTCTACAAATATTTTCTTATTTGCATAATAATACAAGAGTTAGCAACATAACAAGCAAAAATGCACTACATAAGAACATGCTCTCCAATTTAGTTAATAATTTTTTTATGTACATGTCCTTCTATGCTAATTAATAACTAACAGTATACAATTTCCTGTTTATTATAAACATACCGCTGTTCCCTTTCTGTAATACCCTGCTAAAAGGTTACTGATGCTGTTATCACAGGATGGCATATTTCAGCTACAAGAAATACAAATATAGCCAAGTTCAGGCTCAATCCCGCTAAATTTTTCATGCAAGGTTCTACATGGAAGACTCTACACCCTGGCATTACACCCTCTTGAAGTCAGTGGAGCTCTGGGCTAACAAAGGATTGTCTTGCTTGCCCAATAAAATGGACTTGTGGAGTTTCATATCACAAGGAGTGAGACATTCCATTTAGAAACAGCAGCAATATCACAGCAGGCACACTTTATTAAGGCAAAATCCATTCCTAATCTCTCGTGTCTGAAAAAAAGATATAAGCAGGTGGGAAAAAATTAAGCTACATTTTTAACTTTTCCCACTACCAACAACTCTTGACTGAATTTGTTTATTTTTATAAAAAATCTTTTTCTTCATAGAATCTTATGGTGCATCTAGACCATCCTATACAAACTGAAGATCCAATTATTAGGAAATGAGTGGACAAATTTTAATATTTTAAAAGCTACTGAACTGTCTAAAACATCAAATTTTGACTTTCTTGTATGACACAGCTTTTAATATATTTAATTTTATTTATTTTCAGTGAAAATAAATAACATTAAATATAGGTTTGCAGACATAGTTTCTCAAGGTACTCAGGAACCTCATTAAGTTCCAAAGTATTCATAGAGTCCCATTGAAATCAATGGAAGTTAAACGTCTTCTGAAAATCCCAGTCTTTTTTCTTTCCATTCTTTAGCATTAAAATATCATAGGAAACATGATTCTTAAGGCCTAAGTTTTAACCTTATTAAAATAGCTATTTTCTAACTGGCAAGCTTAAGTGCCTTACAATCAGTGGTGAAGGATCAAGAAAATGTGAGGTGAGATCAGCAATTTTTCCATATCCAACTGGAAAAATTAAGGGTGACCCCCTTTTTGTCCCTTACCAGGGGCACCTGAAACTAGGTGAGAGGCATCAGACTTTACAGACTAAAAATAATTTCTTTTGGATGCATTTTCAAAAAATGGAAGATCTTTTCCCTGTAACTCTGACCAATGTTTTTTGCTCCACCTCCCAGCTCCTCTGTTGTGATCTGTACTTTATGACAAATTAAAGACAAACCCAGGAAAAAAAAAAGGGGAATCCCAACTGAATAAACTGAATATAAGGAAAGCTTTTAAATTCTGAAATTCTGAAGAAGAAAGGGATTAAGATGTTTCTCTGCCCACAGGATTCTCTATTGCCAAGTTCTTGGTTAACAGTACTTTTGAATGATTTTGCATTTCCAAATTTCACTCACATAATGAAGAATGAGTATAAGTAGAAATTTCAGCCTTTCCCTAGTCCAGTAATGCACTTTATAATAAAAATTTTTAGAATATAAAGACATTCCTTTTGTTAGTGAGGGGGGGTTGGGGTATGGGGAAGAAGGTAGGAGAGGGGAGAGGACAATTTACCACTTAATAGAATTCCTGGCATCCAGTTTAGCTAGCAAAATTTCTTAAGAAGTCCTGGGGAGACCTAGGTACGGCACACAGCAGAAATTACCTAGGAAAGTCAGAGCACTGAGAAGAGTGCACTGACTGGAGAGTGCACTGGAAATATCAAAAGGAAGGGACTATTAAAAGTCTTTAATCTACACAGTTATGTTGCATTGAGCATGCATAGAAGAACAGGCCTCCATCCACTGAAGAGCCACAACATACAGTTTTATTATAAGCACTGCTTTTATAATCCAAAGGGGAATGAGTCTTTCCTCACACCTCACAAAGTCTTTCCCCCCAAAGAAAACCAGATGCAGAAGCATTTTCCAGCTCTTGTCCTGCCAAAAAAAAAAAAATCATTATGAAAGATGGAGAAAGTAAGATGGTAGCAAGGTGAATGACATGGATTACAGCCGGCAGCAGGAGAGACTCAGGATCTATCAATTGATTAAAAAAATAAAGCAGTAAACTTTTCAAAAATAAATGCCTTATACCCAAAAGACAACTAAGTCTCCCTTTCTGTAAGAGAAGGCCATAGTTACTAAGCCCTTAGCAGTCCCTTATCCCTGCATACTCAGGAAACCATTAGTTGGGAAACTTTCTGAAGTGGGAATGCTGGAGGCCAAAATTTCCACACATATAATTGATAGACCACTAACAGCTACCAGATAAGTTATATAGGTTAGTTGGGGAAAAGAATGCTTACTTTGAGAATTCCAATAGAGTTTGAATGTAAAAGACTACTCTGCTCTGCATGGTCAATGCATGGTTAAAGCATTTGCATTTCTCCTGGCATTATCCAAAAAAGACATGTCTGTGTACTGAAGACATTGATAACTCAGGATGAAAATCCTCCTGGCCTTATCCTGCAGCTGATCTGGGGTATTTTGAAATCAGGCAAGATAAGCACTCACAGTACTAAACATAAAAGTCTGTCTGTAGAGTCCAGCTTGACGTGTTTTTGGAAATTAAGGGTCTTTCCCAAAGGACTGCACTGTTTGTATTTTTTAAGTCAATTAAGAGTTTTTGATTTTTGCAGACTCAAGACCAAAGTCCTCACTGAAAAAATCATACCATTTAGAAAAATTATGGTCCTCCAAAGATACCTTTATCAAACTTCAGCCAAGAAGACTGCTGAATATAACTAGGACACTAGCAGTGACATGTTGGCCTGCCTGCAACACAAATTGGTTAGTGCTAAAAGAACTAAACCATAAAAAAAAAAAAAAAATCAGAAGTGCAAAATCCACTTCCATATACCTTTGTGGACTCACTCCATATTTTTTTGACTGCCATTATGATACTGCATTTAGAAGCATCCAGAAGTGTTTGAGGGCTGGCTGTAACTAAAAGTATCTTGAACTTTAAAAAAGACATCTAGCATTTATGCACAGAAATGCCTTTCACGTTTCCATGTAAAGAGCATCCATTCTCTAATCTTGCAGATCACTCATTCACAGGTTATGTCTATGTATCTACAAATTTCCAAACTGCAGTTTTTGTTTTTCATCTATCCAGATGAATACCCCAAAAAATACCACTGACCCTTTCACATGATAAATGACTCTGTGGGCATTTTATTGCTAAGATGCAAAACTCTGGAGAGTCATGTAATCATGCAATCTAATTAGTCTTTTAGATGGTGAAATATCATTCAGGGGAGAGATACTTTACAAATAATATTATCAGGATTCTCTTTTCCCTACCTCTTCTCTAAATTGTCTTCATAGACATAGATGTACACAAATACACTGCCATACACTATCCAAATGACTGGCCTGGATAAGATCATTTCTGCTTAGACAGACCATTGTTTTTTGCTGAATTTCATTTAGAAAAGCTTTTTGAGTTGTAGACAGAATCTTTACAGAGTACACATTGATGATGTTGAAAATGCAGAGAAAAATATTTTTAAGTTCTGTCATTCCCTATACTCCATTTCAATTTCATTTTTATGAAGGCATTTGAAAGCAGTGGAGAATCTAGTTTGAACCTTTATTTTTATTTTAGTTTTCTCGTGTCTAAATTATAAAAGACAGATCCCAATTCTTTGGGTACTGCAATTTAATTTACCTCCAAAGATGCATTTTTTCTTCTTCTTGCTGTATAGTTGCTCACAGCTGAAATTGTTCAGTCATAATGAAAACACACTTACTGCATTCCAAATGCTTACACAAGTATGCATTTGGGGAATAGCTTTCTTTTATTTAAAGTTATCTGCAAGGAAAAATATTGTAAAATATACCATTCTTGAGAGAGTTTTCAGAAAAAGTTAAGCAGAGTTAAAAAAATATATTTCAGGTGTCTATTCTATTGAGCTTAAATTTGAGTAACTCTAGTGTAATACTGATGTCTAATTTTGCTATCATTTCTGCTCAGTATTTTTCCCTTCCCTCTAAGACTACCATGCAGTTCCATAAGAGGGCTGGATATGTTAACTCATCCCTAAATTTCTTACCCTTGCCCCTAGCAAAAGGATTGCAAATTAGATAAAGTAACTACTTTTTTCAGACTGCAATACAGAACACATTTCAAGCCATTCACTCATTAGAAAAGAGTATGACTTTCCTGGGCTGCATTATCAGAGCCAAATGTTTCATAAACTACAAAATGACATGTTTATTCTGTTTGGATACTTAATTCTTAAATTTGCTCATTCATTCATGCCTAACAGAAAAATCTAGTTTATTGCCTGCTCAGTCAGAAGCAACAATTGAAAAATAATTACACTGCAGCAAAGGCACAAAATTCTTAAACTTTGATGCGTCTTCCAAAAAGTTACCATGAATTTCTCAATTTTCTTTCTTCTTTATCCCCCCTAAACCCTTTTCTCAGTATTGCAAGTTCATTTACTAGAAAAATATGTGTGCTGAATGGAAGCAACCATTTATTCTTTATCAACACCTTTGCAGCTAAATTATACTGCGGGTAAGTATACTTATTAAAACACATCTATTGAACAAAATTTGGATTAAGTACTTTTCTGTATTCTTTAAAGTTATATAACTACAAAAGATAATGTTAGCAAATGAAACATATACTTGGCTAATTAATGCACGCAATTAAAAGTACATAATTGTCTTTTCATTCCCATTTAGGTCTCTATTCAAAAAAGCACTTAAGAATATCCTGCTCTTTAATGTGACTACTGTACTCCTTTAGGCATATGACCAACCAAATATTTAAGGATGCACTTAGGCATGTGTTTAAGAGGTCTGCTGAAACCAGATGTTAGTGTAGAAGAGCATGCAAAAGAGAGCACTCATCCCCCTTGGATTGAAAAATCTATTAAAAATGCTTCTGAATTAAAAAGAAGCACAGTAAAATATGAGTTCAGTTCAGTTCATTCCAACTGAAAGGAAAAGCAGGAAATGCTCTCAGAGACTGACAAAACCTGCTGTTTCTATCACTAAGTCCAAAGAAGTAAATCAAAGTAAGGAGTAAATACAGAAATTCACAGCACTTGCTGCACAACCCTCTTCAGAGTTTCTTGAAATCAGTGTTTAAGATCTTCCTAAGTGAAGAGGACAGAAAAAGCTGTCATTACACTTGCTGTTATCACAACTAACCTCTACATAATTAAAGCCTTTTTTCATATTCACTTTGTTACTTAGAAGCCTGTCTGCTTAGTGAACTCATAATGCAGCATAGACTGTTTGTTCATAGTTTTGCTTTTTTCACTACTACAACACCATAGCAACCCAAACACCAAATATTTATTTTCTTTCTCAAACACTGCAAGTTATTTTATGAAAAAATTTATGCAAATTGGGCAATACGTTGACTCATTCTGTTTGTCTCTCTTGCATGTATCTCTAAGGCACCTATCACCATGGTGCCTAAATGCTGTGGCACTATAGTTGCCAGCTTTCTTGTATCATAAGTGGTGTCATCATTTTTGTCCACTTTTATATAGCCTTTTCATATAAACTCTAAAAAAGTATCAGCTAGGACAGAACAGTCATGGATTAAATGTAAGAAGATGCTTTCTGCAGCAATAAACAGAAATCAGTAGTAAAATTAATCATCCTGTTTCCTTCAGTCTTCATTTACTCTGAAAATAGTTTATTTCAGTAGTAGAAGGTGCTCCTTTGATAAAAGCTTCTCTGATTTCAAAAGTCCTGGACTCAAAATCACTTGCATTCTACCTCCAAACCAGCTCTTATAATGCACAGCTGCCCACACAACACCACACTGTCCTAACAAATTTTTGTAGTACATAATTCAACTTATTTCCCTTCTTAGAACTCATTCAGAGTGCATCATCCCCTAAAATATACTGTAATCATTTTAACTCCAGACCAATGTCATCCTACAAACAAGTTATCTTATTGTGAGACTCAGGATGTGTAAACAATCCAGCAGAGCTTCCTTGCTACTACAAATACAAAACAAACCAGAGACGAGAAACAATGACATTTGTAAAGATACACCTTCTGCTGATGGTAAAAGTTAAGAGCTTTTATTCCTTTCCTCCTCCTTTAATAGCAGCCAAATGGAGAGCACTGGAAACTGCAAATAAACTTTATATTTGAAAAAAAAAAAAAAAAGAAAAAAACTAACGTGGGCCAAAACATCGTGATGGTGTATTTGGCTCAACTTAAAATAGAATGATTTTTCTCCCATAATATTAAATGGAAAAAGTATAACAAGAAAGAAGTGAAATGGAAAATTGCTAAAGCTGAAGAACATTACACAGAAAAAAAAGCAGCATTTTTTCTAACAGCTCTGAGATTACATGAAAAAGAGAGAAAGGATGTGGAGGAGGGGGAAAGGGATAGAGAGGTAAGACAAGGGAACATGAAGCAGGCTGAAAACAGAATAGAAACAACTTTTATGGAAAGACTAAAAAAATTAAGAGAAAGCACAAAATCAACAGAGGCACATTCAAGACTTTAAATATTCTGCAGAATAGGTTTTCCATAAAAAACTTAAATGTAATTGGACTGTTCATCATTTATAAACTGGATTTTTTGTAGTTCATCTTGCCACAGGCCAGACTGCTTCCACTTCTCTTACCTACAGCATGTTTTACTCTGTGGAGTTTATCTTAATCTCTGCAATTCTACTTCAAAAGATATCATAAGATATAATTTTTACCCAATGTTTTAATTTAAAACCTTTTTTTTAAACCATTGGTAAGATAGGGTTATTACTGGAAGGCAAGTGCCTCCAAACAGAAAAATGTCTCACTTTTTAGTTGTTTTCAAGGATGGCAACAAAGTTTGACAGCTGACATTTCAGGAATCAAAAAGAGCTTGAAATACTACATTAATAAAGCATATTTTGTCTTTCTTAATGGAACATATACAGGGACATTATAAAAATAAAATACTCTCTTCTGACTTGAATATTCAGATTCTTCATTGATCATGATGCTTTATCACCAATGAAATGTACTGCATTCTTAGCACATCCAAACTCATATGAAATTGATGATTTATATATATATACACAGCACCTTACATCTTCAAAGAGTTTGTAAATAGCAACACCTTCATTCTCATCCTATTTCACTAATGCAAAATGCAAGACCTGACATCAGAAATATGTAAAACAAGAAAATTTAGATTTTTCAAAGTACAACTGATATTAGAGAGATCTAAAATTTCCACTGATATATGAGAAACTCTGTCTAGATAAAAACTAGGTCTCTGTGAATTTCCACTCTGTGGAGGTGGGCACAGGCATGAAACCTCATCCTTTGCAGAAAATAAATTAACATCACCATTTCTTTTCAGTATTACAAAATTTTTTGTTGACTGAATGTGCACAACCTCTGCCTTCCAAGGCATCAAATAATATAATTGATCAGACATAATTGAATCAGTCAAACCTGTTCAGCTCATAACCAACCCTTTTTCTATGTTCTAGAAAAGAGTGGTTGTATTTCTGTCTAGCCCATGGCTACACATACAGCCATATTGCTAAGGCACTGCTCAAAATCCTGCCACATCATATAGTTTTATATGGCTGCATATGTTGTATTTCAATACATTTTTGAAATTACTTAACTTGATGGATCTTCTTGCAGCTGGCCTACTGAATTTCAGGACTGCTAGCACAGCCAGCTGCTATGAGAGTTCAACTCTTTTGTACAAGTGACTGATAACTCTGTGACTGCTGTTAAATTCCTGGACAGATCAAATGAAGCTCACCTCCCCCTAGATCTGAAATCTCTTCAAGCTGCTTTTTTAAAGCCACATAACAAGTGTTTTGTCCTGACATTACTGTTCCACTTTTTCTTCCCTGTCTTAAAGGAATTTTCGTTCTTCTAGTTCTCATGGGAAATTGTGTTAAAATTCAGGAACCTGACCTTAGGTTGCATTGAATATTCCCATTGACTTCAGGCCATAAAAAAGGAAAACTGTGAAAAAGAGTTATATTCTGTCAAGAAGAATATGGCTCCAAATGCTGGAATCATCCTGACAGCTCTATTTCAGAAGTTAGCCAAGGAGAAAGAAAGGGCCAGATCTCTTGAAAATTACATACACATACCTCACACACATGTATACACATACAAAGCATAAAGGAGAATAGAAAGGAGAACCTGGAAAGAAACCCTGCCAATTTATCAAGTGGTAGATGAATTATCCCCAAGACTTTCATAGAAGCAGCAGCCACCCCATTTTAAGGTGAAGTTTTATTTCAGTCTCAGCTGCAGCATAATCTCAGATCCATCCATCCGTGTTTCGCCCACTCCCCCTCCTTTCCCCTCACAGTCCCCCTGCTCCCTTCCCAACTCACATGTTGAGTAACTTTGAGGCATCGCTTCCTCACCAATACCACAGGTTTCATGGGCCTGGCTAGGTAGGAATTGCAGGAAGAAGGATTGAATTGCTTAAAAAAAAAAAAAAAAAAAGCATTGGAACATTGGAATTTTCCAGTGTTTGGTCTTCCCTAATACCAGAAGCACCTCTGAGTTTGAGTTTAGCAAGCAGACTCTTAGGTGCTGTTTCATTATTGGCTTAAGCTACCCTAAGTATGGAGTGTGCCAAGAGGCAGGCCCACTCACCACCTCCCTCCCCCTCCTCTCCTCAGACCTAGGTAAATACTCCTCTCATTTCATCATCAGTTCTCATGCTGCCTCAGAGTCAGCCAGATCAAAAATACAAAATGATCCACCTAAGATCTGAGCCACACACTAATTTTCAGATGGTTCCTGACACAGCTGACCTTGAAGTCAGAAGCATGCTCATTCTCCCCAGGGAGACAGCAGAATATGCAGCTGGAGCAGGAAGGGAAAGAGAGCTCTACCACCATCTTCAGCAGCAGCACAGATTTAAATTTGCTGAAGCCTACTGCAAAACCACAGCACTGTTATGTTAGGAACAACTCCCAAATGAACCAAACTGTACAAAAGAAAAAAGCAGACCTTGACCCTTGATTTTAATGTTCAAGGAAGACAAGAAAATACAGATATTCTCCTGAATCAGAAATGCCAGATGGCAGAGAGGCACACTTGAGTATGTTTCCAAAGCAGAACCAGTAATAACTCCCTACACCTGGATGCAGTGCCTGCACTAACTCCTGACTTAAAAGAAGTGCTAGTAATTATGGGAGCATATCCCTTAAGCTGTGTGTGAAACATGTGTACCTCAACAAATTTATTTCCAATAGGTTAAGGGAGAAATTGTCTGGCCTTTTTGGGTGTGCATGGAGAGCACTTTGAGAAGCTGATGGAAGAGACACAATAATACCCATGGGCTGTAGTCCCAGTTTTCAGCAGTAGTGATCTCATGAGACTGATTGTATTAACACTGCTGGTTTATGCCTTTTGATGCCCAGTCAGCTCAGGTTTATTGCACTTCAGTGTTTGAGCTGGAATGTTAGGAAACTGCATCTATTTGAATAACCACTGCAGCACATTCAAATGGAAGAAATGCCTTTATACCACTTAAGACAGACAAAAGTCTAGGGAAGCAGGGCAAACACAAGCCTGGTCCAGCCTGATTTTGTTGCCTTAAATTGGTGCCAGTGGGCTGTTTGGCTTCTGGGGCAGGAGGAAAGCAATTAACTACCCTTGTGCAGTTCAATGCCATGAGAATACCTTAGTTTGATGTATTACTATCCAGAGAACCTGAAATGCTGCAGAAATCCTTCCATTTCTAACAGCTGACAACAGCAACTCTAAGCATTCCATTTATATTTCTGCTATGATACTTCAGAAGATCTTATCCTGGAACACTTGTGTCGGGTGACTAATTACATAAGAATTGTTCATTTTTGTCCTTTTTACTGCAGGAGTATGTTCACAAAGTTAGTCCTTTATCTGTGACGCACTTCTGAAAGAGAAAAACAAAAAAGACACAGAAGCCTGGGGATTTGATTAGTTTCTTCCAAGATATTTAATTGCTATTACAGCCAGAAATATGTAATACACTATAATACAATTTTCTTTTTGAGAGTAAAACTTGGGTTAAATACTAGCACAAATTCCACGTGATAGCAAAGTAATCTCAGGAGTTTCAAAAAACAGAACATGGCAAGCTAGACTTCCACTGTTTTTTTGTGGTTCGCTTCTATAAATTTTGGGCACAGAATCAAACTTTAACATTCTATACAGAAAGCCAGAATCTTTCTAAAAATTCGTTTACAAATCAGCAAGACTGGAAACAATTTGATAGAAGACTTACTGTGTATGCTCTTTCAGCCATTTCACTAGAAACTCATTTTAGCTTTCTCTGAGGTAGAGATAAACCACAGCTAAGAGACAGTTATTAAATCTTCTTTATACATTCTGTATGAAATGTATTAAACCAAAAAAAAATACTATATTCAAATAAGGTTAAAGGTCTGACTTAAACCCAAAGACATGGAAATTCAGAAATATTGAGTCTAACTACCCTTTACTCTCTTCAGTGTGGCTATGTATTGTAGCAAAAATGACTTGTGCTCAGGTTCCTTAAACCTCTTCTTTATGTTACATTTCTCCTTAAAGGTACTTTCTATTTTAAGGTTATTTCAGTTTGCATTCTCTTTGTGGATTGAATTCTGCCCTGGACAGTCTGGGGGCGGGGGGTTTATTGTTTGTTTGGTTGGTTTTTTAAAATAATTTCATTTTTTAAAATGATTACAGAAACACAGATGTGAGAAAAATAAAGGAAAAGTATGTATGTATTAGTCTTGGCAACCAGCTATTCTTGCTTTTATTTTTCAACACATACCTTACAAATCACGCTCGCGAGAGACAGGCAGGCAGATGTAGGACGTGCATGACTCTCAGCAAGTGCAAGCACATGCTTCAGCTCTCTCCCTGCCCCCCTGCAGCTCCACTTAAACATATGTAAATACCTATTACATATTTCTCCAGTGAACTTAGTAGGAACCTTGCAGTTGACAGTGCAAGACTTTGTGCCACAAAATGCCTTGGGGCCTTCTTCCATGATGGACTTTTTCCCCTTTTCCTGAATACAACAATGACCAGTGGAGGTCACACTTTATTCAAAAGAAAGTAAGATGCTTGCAGATCCTCCTTCCTGGGGGCTGTCAGCCTTGAAACCATCTCCTACACTGTGGTACAGTAGTTTGGGCCTGCTGACCTATTGGGCAAATTGCAAACTGTGTCTTCTCAAGATAACTTCAAGCAGGGAAATTCCACTGCTTGAAGGAGGGGCAGGGTATCTTAGGAGGATGGTGGAGGGTTTTTTTCCTATATTCTACAACTGTAAACGAGTTTGAGTTTCTTTTCCTTCTATTTTATTTCAAATTATTATTTGTTTTTACTTAATTATCAGCGTATTATGCAGTCAGGCAACTGTCTCCACACAGCTATTATAAATCTATATGCATTCAACAAACTGTTAGAAACTTGATAATTTCAAATGTGGCCTGGGAGTTCCCCTCCACGTGTTTCATATATTCTGATAAATATGTATATTTAATTCTGTAATACTTACACATGCTACTGAAGAGTCAATTTTTAAAGATGAACAGCCAATGTAGACGATTCATTCCCTCCAACTAGTACTCCTGCCAACTGCTGAAAAAAAAAAGGACAATGGGCATTCCAACAAAAAACAGTGTTGATTACACTCTGGTAGCCAGAGTAAAGGGAGATGATTTGGAGGATGTCCACAAACATTAATCTTTGCAGTCTGACTGTGATAAAAGTAAACCATTCAAAATCCTCAACAAATAATCCTCAACAAAATAGTGTAAGACTATAAAATAATACCAGTGATGTAGATTTATCTTAAGATACCATAGAACAAGACACAGGGGATTGAGAGAAATTCCTTAAACAGATAATACTTGACAGTAGTAGACAATCTCTGTTAAAGAGTAAGAGAAACAGAAAGCAGTAGCCTTGACCCAGAAAAGGTATTTCTGCCTTATACAGCATAGAAGACAGACATTCAAGAAAAGCTCATCCATGAGAAATGGTGATCTCCTATTGCTGCCAAGGTCAGTCAGACCTGTTGTGATATATTCTGTAAATGCTGACTCTATCACTTACAGTTTTCCAAGGACTTCCTTAACACCCAGAGCTTTTTTATTTTTATTGTGGAACAAAGTTATAACATGAAACTGTCAAACTAGAAAGCCCAGAAAAGGAAGACAGAGAGTTTTTATTAGACTTAAGAGTGACAACTCCATCGAGAAAAAAAAAAACCCCATAACAGTTATAAGGAAGGGGATATGAAGTTCCTCGAGATCCACCAGAAAAATGCCAAAATCTCAGCAAAGAAGTAAATTTTGCTCCCAAGTCAGCAGTCCTAACAGTTTATCATGACCCTTGAAAACTGACTGCAGATGACATGCAGATGGCATATCTGTTTCAGCCTATCAAGTGTGAATGGGATGTAATTTATTTGCTACAACAGGAAGCTCTAATGGAAACCCCCAATATACTTTTACTATACCTCAGTCACAACCTTTTGCACTTGAAATGCCAACTGTGCCAACTGTATGGTGCTTTTATGACAGCAATCATGAATCTCAAAGGGAGAAAAATAAATTCAAGCAAGTAATTTTATTTTCTCTACCTAAAAAATTAAAATGGGATAATAGATAAACTGTATTACCTTCTAGCCCTAAATTTTTCTTTTTACTCTGTGAACTTTACTATACTTATATGTATTCAAAGAGAACAGAGTTTGGACCCCTCTCTCTATTAACATCTGTAATTCTGAGCTTGAATTAAACTACTAATTAAACCCATGTAAAAGAATGTACTTAGACTACTTTTTTGCCCCACTGCTTTGGGGTGGGAGCCTCCTGTTGAAACACCTACCTTGCCTGGGGATTTAAGAAACATCCCTCTCTTCACAGAGACCTTGTGAATATAAACAAAAATGAAAATCTTCTCTAGCAAAAGACATCTGAAACAGAAAAGTAAGTTTGTAAGTTTTAAGTAAGTCTGTAATGATCCCTTCATGTCAGGGGAGCTCATGCAGGGGCAATTCAGCTCTGTTTGGAGGTTCATCAAATAGGACAATGATTAAATCATTGTTCTGAATTTAAAACTGATTAATCACCTGCTTATCATCTGTCTTGCAGATGAGAATTCCCTGTTGAATGCTATGGAGAAACTGGTGATAAAGACCCTTCCTCTGCTTGTGACCAGTTCGGTCTTTTCTTTCTCCTGCCTATTCAGCTGACATATTAATATGTACATTTGTAAAATACCTGCAAATACAGATGGGTATTATTAATAGTACCAACTATGAATACAGGTTTGTTCTCAAGACGTCTGTATATGATGCAGTCTCCAGACAACATTTATACAACTTATATGAATCCTCAATTTTTGGAAGAGAAACCAAAATGCCTTTAGACAGCTTTTAAACTTCAAATAAATCGTTGAAAACATAACTTTCCTTTGAAAAATCTAAGTTACTGAACTCTAAGTACAGGCCTCCAGTACACTTCAGAAAAAAACCAGCACGAAACCAAAATTTCCTGATTCCTTATACTTCTGGATGCTTCATGATTGCTCTAACAAGATAAGTGGAAGAGTGGAAAATTGGCAACCTTAGCAGTTGAGTATATCTTGCAATTGAGAACTAGCATACATCACACTGTGATGTATTTTTGAGCCTTCCTTCCTTCATACCATGTGGACAGTGTAGCTCATATAAAAACCCTGATAAGACAGAAAATACAGGAAAAGAATAAAAGGAACTTCATGTTTCCCTTTGTTTCTCTGACCACAAGAAATAATCTAAAGCCCAGTAAAATGTTTGCTTTTGAGACTGGCCTACCTTCCCCATGTCTGCAAGGCCACATTTAATTTGGTAATTTGAACTGAACCAGCTGGCAGTGTCTTTGAGACATATGGGAATGGATCAAAGCTGCAAATATGCAAGGTGAATTTTACATTTTTATATTTCTTTCATGGTAATTTAAGTTCTTGATTCTCTGAGATACTTTGTGCTTAATTCCTACTGGGGGCAATGGCAGATGAGTTGTAAGAATCTTTTCTGAGATGCAAAACACAGTTCGGCTTCAACCCATGTGTCAATTCCTCCTCCAGTGTTAAACTGTGGATTATTTTTTGGATTAAGAAGATATGGCAATACTCAGGTTTTTTTCTGCTTTGTAGCAAAGGGAATTCAGGGGCTTTCTTTAACTTTTAGAAGTGATTTGTACTTCCTTATAGAGAGCAATTTATTTTCATACAAGTGTGATAATTTGGGGCCCATCATTTTCACCACAAACAAATTAAATAGGACAGGAGCAATAGCTAAAATAATAAAATAGCTATCTCTTTCATTACACATTTGATAACACTTTGTTTGACACACTATCAGGTAGCCTTACAAACTGTTTAAATACTCTGAAACATATATTACACCTATTAAGTTTTTATACTGTATTGAAAATCTCTTTTTTCACATTGAGTTATGCTCACTTATAAACGCATACACAGAATGTCAACAGTTAAAATGAATCAATTTCTTAAAGGATTTGAGTTCATTCTGGTGAAACAACCAGATTAATTACATTGTTTAAAATATTCTGCAATCTTAATATATTATCATTTGCATCTTCCCAGATCCAAGTGTCATATCCAGATTAAGAACATGAAACAGGACATCCACACAAAAGAGACAGACCCTTTGTCCTATTATTATTTAATTAACTACTATCTAGATATGGATGAGCATTGACCTTTGTTATGAATGGTAAACAGTCCTGTGAGTTAGTCAGTAAATCAAAAATTTCAGCAGGAGGGATTTTCTTAGCAAAATCTCAGTGGTTCCCTTATAGCTTATCTGTTCCTCCTGGCTACCAAAGTGCAGTGCACAAAGAAAGAAGCAAAATGATTTTCCAATCCAACTCTTTTTAAAAATACGCAGCACAAAACTTTTCTTTAAAGAAGAGCCAGCCTCATGAAGAGATTCTTGTGGTGCCTAGCCTAAGTATAATAAATACTAAGCCATCATCACAGTCTCACATTTCCTTCTTTCTAGGAAGACCAGGAAGTCTGCTCTTTGTAATAGATTATCAGATATCTAGTGCTCTCAAATAAAGCTGCGTATATATGTGTGAAATCTAAACAAAAAGATGTTGAACTGTTGTTTTTTAAACTAAAATACTTTATTTCTCTTTGGCTGAGAACATTAGTTATGTCTGCTGATGGCCCCCCAACACACTAGACAGACCAGCTGGGCCAGACAGTACGATACACAAGCAAATAATCTGTCATATCAGACACAGTTACTTGTTCCACTGAATTCTGTTCACCTGGCCACTGAAAAGACTGTGCATTCTCAAATGAGACTGTGCCAATGGCCAGACTGGCTCAGACCGAGGGGGTGTCCCGGCAGTACTCTGCCTCCAATGACAGCTCTAGACGTGACAGCCCAAACTGAGGGCAAATACTGCCATTACCTACTTCCATGTCCTCCACCTCCAGCTATTTTCAGCCCAGAGGAGTTACTGATCCATTTATGGTTTGTTCATCTAATGACCTTCTCAGTTCTCCAGTCTGCTGCATAAACCTCTTGCATCCACAATGCTGTTTGGCAAGGAATGCCATAGGAGTTCTCCATTGCATGGAGAGTATTTACACTGCACAGTCTAACTCCAGCAGACAGCATTTAAAACAATAACTTTTTTAGTATTGGCAGATAAAGATCATGTTCCTAGAGGCATTTGTTCCTACTTATATGAGAAAGGCAATAACACTCTTCTCATATGCTGGTATAGCAACCTCTTTCAAGACTATTTTGGAGACATTCACTTGAATGTTGAATGGCTTTAAAAACTCAGTGCCCTTCTGAACAAATGTTCCTTCCTTTTGAGCTTCTAAAAATTGATTCATTCTTTTAAATCTGTTTCAACATTTTTTTTCTTTTTCTGGAAAATGCACTTCCATGAGCTTAAGTGGCCATGTTTGATATACCATTGAATTATCCTGCAAAGGCCCTTGCTTTCTCAGTCCATAAAGGCAAAACTTACAATATTATTAACAATTTTAGTTATGGTCTCCACAAACGCATTATTCTGAATACCCTAGAGAACATGTTCCCTACAAAACAAAAGAATGTTCTAACAGAATAATATATATTTTTACCTCTTTAATTTTTACCAACTGTACAGATAACTGCCACAAATCTCAGGTGTTTTACCATCTTGATGATTAAATCATCTCTGTAAGTAGCAGCAAAAATTTTACAACTCTCAGGGCCTGCATCATTAAGTACTGAAAATAACTTGAAGTGCTGCGCAAAGCAAACGGTACAGTTGTAAACTCCTACAGACTCCGAGGAACCCGAAGCCCTTCCTAAGGCAGCAGTGAGTAATATTTCACATAAATAAAACGCTAATTCTCTACTTTTTATTATCAGACACTCTGGTCATTCTGGTATTGACATCTCCAGCTCTGCATTTCTGTACCTGCATGCACTTGTATGCACCTGCACACACTGGTTGCCTAGAACAGCTCATCTCGAATTGCTGTATCTCTACCACCTCTCTCCACAACAGGCTGCAAACTAATCCACTGTCCATGAATAACAAGTTTCTCAACAGCAGCTTTTCAATACGGAGCTTGCAATCTGTCTCCCATTCACTTTGTCAAATTATGGTCCACATATCAGCCATTTGCAGCAGTGATATATCTGTCAGGCGTCAAGTACATCTCTTGCAAAGGAAAATCTTTTTTAGGATTTTTTAACTTTCAAAATGTCTAATCCCAAACATGTAAAATAATGAGTCAGATGCCAAAAATCATGAGGGTTTGGGGTTTTTTTTTTTTTCTTTTTTAATATGTTAATATCTTTTCCTTTGCTTTCTGGAGCTTTTTCTAGGTCATGTTTTCAAGCTTTTCTCCAAGGCCAGAAGGGTTTCAAACATTATTAAAAAGAAAGCAACTGAGATCCTTTTGTAATTTCACGTTTAAGAAACACATTTATTGCCATCAAACTTAAATTCTGTTGAACTGACAACCAAGTATCTTCAGAGATGTTTTTGATCAAATAATCCTGAAATAGGAATATTGCTTCAAACCTGTTTTCTCTAGAGTTTCATTTGCATTACTTACGTATTTTTTTCAGATAATTAAGCTTTAATGAAAGCAGGTTGTTAGACATGGAAGAAAGTAATGACTTAACCACAATCCTGAAGGACTCTACAATATCAAAATATCTGAGGTGCACATTATATATCTTTGTAAATGTATGTGTATATCCTCACACAAGCAGTGATGTTTTCACCTGAAATTTGCGAATTGCTCCCCACAATACTGAGTTGGCTTGAAATCTTTCTGTAGAATTTTTTTTCAGTGATGAGAAGACAGTTTTGTTTGGCAACATGCATTACAAATCTTCTAAAATTCTAACTGGTTTGTGATGGAAATGTTCATGAGTATTGATAAATGTAACCATTCCTGTTAATCATCATAATCTCAGCTTGTTTGTGTGGCACTCAGTAATTCGTTTTTATTTAAAGAAGAAAAGACATTCCTTTCTTTTCATAACACAATTCCTCTGTTGGGCATTATCTAAGCTTAGCATAGTGTCCTTCCTGTATTCTTTCTCTTCCATCCTTTCTGCCCTGATTAAGACTACTGAAGACTCAGCAGGAAACCCAGTGGGATTGCTCATGGTGTCTTGAAGTCACCTTTTCTTTCATTGTTTTTGCCTGTTAAACCTTGTTATGCTCATCAATCCCTCTCCCGCATCCCACTGGATTCCGAACTTTCCTTTGTCAGCACCCTTGTTTGCTCCTAATTGAGCTCCTCCTAATTTTCCCTACCCCATCCGTTTCTCCTTCCTTCCTCCCCTCACAGTTAGGCCATCTCCTCAAATGTCCCTCCTTCATCCTGTGCCTGGTGTCACCCTGTGTGCCCAGGCCTGAGCATCACCATTACTGGGGTGCACCCCAGATGACGGGGTATTTCACGGGTGCGCTCTACTTTCAACTTGTTTCCTGTTTTCTGGGACACGCTCATGGATCACAGCCTATGTGTGCCACCACAAACTCTGGGCGATAGCTTCCACTCCGCCGGGACTGGAGACGAGGGCTGTGCTGACAGCGCGACCCACACCAGCCTCAGAGGGCTGCCAGGGCAGAGGGGTCGCCCCAACTTTGCCAAAGGTCCGCGGAAATGGGTCCAAGGGTCTCACCGAGGCCCCTCAAGAGATCCACCCGCGGCCACACCGGCACTCTGAGCCCGACCCACCCCAGGCAGCGCACCCAGCCCTTTCCCAGCCGCCCTGCGGCCCGGCCCGGCCCCGCGGCGCGGCGGGGGTGCCATAGTAACGGGCGGGGGCCGGGTGGCGCCGGGGGCCGGGCGCAGGGCGCTGCGCGAGGGCGGGGACGGCGGCGGGATGGCGGGCGCGGGAGCGCCCCCTCTCCGCGGCTCCGGGCCCCGGCGGCCGCAAATGGCTCTTCCCTCGCCGGCCCCTTTGTGTGAGGCGCACTCGGAGCGGCGGCTCCGCGGCGGAGCGCGGTGCGTCCCCTGCCGCCGCCAGCCCAACCCAACCCGGCCGGGCCGAGCCGAGCCGAGCCGAGCCGAGCCGAGCGGCTCGGGGCGGCCGTTCCAACGCCTGGGCGCCCCGCTCCCCCCGGGGGTGCGCGGGGGCCCGGCTGCTGTCGCCACCTCCCCCTCAGCCCCCCCAAGGCCCTCGGTGTGGTGGGGGACCAAAATACAACTCCACCAAACCAAAGCAAATAAATAATAATATTAATAAAAGAAAAAAAACAGAGAAAAAGAAAAGGAAAGAAAGAAAGAAAGAAAGAAAGAAAGAAAGAAAGAAAGAAAGAAAGAAAGAAAGAAAGAAAGAAAGAAAGAAAGAAAGAAAGAAAGAAAGAAAGAAAGAAAGAAAGAAAGAAAGAAAGAAAGAAAGAGAAAGAAAGAAAGAACGGGAAAAGAACAGAGGGAGCGAGCGAGAGGGAGGGAGGGAGAAGCGAACCAACTCCGAGACTCCCATAAAGAGCGGCACGCACGGAGCGAGCGCCCCGGTGCCGATGCGCGGGGGAAACAATAAGTACTCGAAGTTACCTGCCCTGCCGTAGAAGAAGGAGGGTTCGTGGGTTCTCTTGCAGACATCTGCAGACCGGTGCTTTTTTGGAAGAGATTTTTTTTTTTTTTCCTCTCCTCTCTCTCTCTTTACAAACCACAAACGGATGTGAGGCAGGGAAGGTGTTTGACTACTGAAGTCAGGCACCTCTTTTTTTATTCTTCTCAGTCTTGTGTGTCCCCCCCCCCCCCCTTCCCTCTCTCTCTCTCTCTCACACACACATACACTCACACACACACACACTCTCACACCCCCCTTTTTGCACCTACATTAACGAGCAAAAGAAAAGGAAAGGAGTTTGCTTGATGTTTTAGTGAAATGGACGTAAGATTTTATTCACCACCTCCTCAGCCTGCAGCCGCTCCTGATACGCCTTGTTTGGGACCTTCCCCCTGCCTGGACCCCTACTATTGCAACAAGGTGACTCGTGTTTTGTGTCGTCCGAGGTGTTTTATCTGTGCTGTCGGTGTGTGCTGTTGTCGCGGCGCGTTGCACGAGCGGGCGCTGCGCTCTGGCGAGCCGCGCACCAAGTTCCCCGGCGAGGCGGAGGGAGGGCAGCGGCACTTGCCGGGCTTTGGGTTTGGGGAGCGCAGTGCCGCCCGCCGCGGAGCGGTGCCGCCGGGACACACAGCGGCTCCCCCGCAGGCACCCCAAATTAAACCCCCGGAGTAGTCTGGGGGCGGGCGGCTGGAGCGGGGGGGGTGGGTGGGGGAGGCATTTTCCATAACATCTTTTCGGAGAAACGGCGTGGACGGGGATGTTGGTGCGGGGGACTTGAATTTCCAGGGCGCTTATTAATGAGCAAGACCGCGTCCGCCACAAACCGGCAGAAACTCTGCCCCGCAGTTCATGTGTCAAAGAGCCGAAAAGCACGTTTGTGTGTGTGTGTGACATATTTGTGTGTATACACACACACACGCACACACAGGCATACACATTTCTCTGTGTGCATAATAAGTCTGCATGGTGTTTACTAGTCGGTTTAGAACATCGGCTCCACTTTGTCCCGGCTGTGCAACTGCCTTCCCAATTTCTCTGTAACTTGATTAAACCTCTGCAAATAGGGTCAGTATCTGAGGAGAGCTAAGTTTTAGGTCCCCGAGCCTTGGGGAAGGAGGAACAGCAGAGGATACATGCGCTTAGCCCTAATCCTGTGTCCGGTTCCGAGAGTTTGGTGCTGCGATCCCGGAGCACTTTGCGTGACTTTTGCTGCCGAGAAAGGGGGCTGGGGTTCCTGCATTGTTACTGCCGCTGTAGCCTGAGCCAGCTGGTGCTTTATGTATGAACTGCACTTTCTCTGCTGTTACGGAATGGGCTTTGCACGTGAATAAAACGCTGGCCGTAGGAAATGATCGGAAAATGCGAGTTACCCCGAGCACAGCCCGGCCAGGGGGAGCAAGCCGGGAGAGAGCGATGTGTTCAAACCTGCGCGCTCGGGCTCTTGTTTGGAAGCCCGCCGTGGCAGCCCGTGGCGGGCGGCAGCAGCAGCAGCAGATGGCTTTTCGCAGCGCAAGCCCCGCCGTGCGCAGGCTCCGCAGGGCCGGCCGCGGGTGCGGAGGGCGGCGGCGGGGCGCGGTGGCCGGCGGGGCTCTGCCGCGGAGGAGCGGCCCCAGCCCGGCCCGGCCCGGCCCGGCCCGGCGGACAGCCCGGTCCCGCGCCCCGCTATTGTCGTGACGGTCTCACGTGTCAGAGAGACGTTCCGAGCCGTTCCTTTCATCCCGGGCAGCTGCCTCGATTCAGAGATAAACAGCAAAATAGAGTGTGCTTGTGCTGAGGCGCGGAGGCTGCGGCGCCCGGGTGAAGCCCTCTCAGTTTTCAGGAAAGGTTTCCCACATGGTCGCATCTACCAATCACAACAGAAAGGACCAAATTCATCCTGGCTGCATTTCACATATACTCAATGGAGTTATAGAATCCAGGGATAAATCGGGCCCTTTGTGGTGGATGCCCCAGGATATTTCAAGAGAGATCCCAGAGGTATGACTGTTAGCGTTGTTTTAAGTAACTATTTTGCAGCATCTGGCAAACGTGCGCTATATTTTGGAAGTTTGTGCCAGGAGTGAACTTGGTTCAGCAGGAAGAGTTCAAATGCAAAGGAGCATTTATGTGTTCATTAATTTTCTCTTAGTGCTCTGAGTAATCATGAGGCTACTGCTACTTTTCATCTGTGGTTTGCTGTTATTTTCTCTATTGTCAGTTTTGTAAATTGTAACAGTGAAATGTTGCCACGTGAAAAGCTTGGGCTGATATTTATGCCATAAGAACCAAAGTGTTTGAAGACCTGTTTGGCAGTGAAACTGGACAAACGTTATTAAACCTATCAATGATTTAAAGCTTCAGAAGGAAGGTAATGACCTGAATACACATCTCACTCATCATTCTTGAGATAGTGGGCCAGATTTAATTTAAAAGTTAAATGCTTTGGAAAATCAGGAATTACTTTAATATATTAAATCATTTTCCAATTAAGTTCCTTAAATAATTTTTGGTGTGTTGCACTCCAAATCGAATAAATTAATTTAGAAAGTCGTTTTCAGAATTTCTTTACTAGCTGGTTAAAGCTTCTTTCAAGTCATGCCATGTATGAGGGAGCAAACTGTTCTTTTCAAATGCAAATGAGACACTCGTTCTGTAGACAAGTTGCAACTCTTCTATTTCACTTTGCCTGAACTGATAATGTGCTTAAAAGTGCACAGTCATAAGACATATGTTTTATGCTTGGAAAAAACTTACCAGGAATGTTTCAATATAAGAAATCGAGTACAGAACAATTGTCTTTCTCAGATGTCTCTACCAGTGACCACTGATAACATTGAATGGACAGAGTAGATTTGCCAGGCCCCTTGGAGGTGTACATTTAGTGAACATTTCATTTTTCACCCCTTCACTCTCTCCCTTTGCCCAGCATGATTAACATTGCTGTGAAAACTTATCTGACTTGTTCTAAACATGTCATCATGTTACAGTATTGCTCTGTCACTCATTTTCAGGCTCTGTGTATTTAGGGAGTTGGAAGGGCGGGAGGCCTGCAGAGTTTTCTATTCTGTATGTTTGGCTGAGTGTTCGCTTTTAAACTCTCCCAGGAAAGGAGATGATGGCTGGAGTGTGATGGATCCTTGTTCTGGGCCAGAATGGTGGTCTTCCTTAGGAATCTACCTGCAAAACTCATTGGGAATTCATTCAATATCCTCTGGGTTCTTGTAAAGTTAGTTAAAACTTGCTTTTGGCACTTACAAGCGGATTTGGCCCTATTTTTCATATCTAGGTTTTGGTGGTGTTTTTCCTTTTACAAATTTTCCAGACTTTGATTGTTTACATTTGAAGTCTGCTTGAGCTGCTGGTAATTTAGAATGTATTCCACAAATACTTAGGCTTTTAAGTTTTCTAGTTGTTCTATTAGTACTAGTTGTTTTCCCTGATCAGATGGTTGTTTGTAGCATAGGAGTTCCCTGGCACATGCATGGGAGCTATTGACTGTGCATTTTTCTGTAGCCAGAGGAAAATAATGTAGATTCAAACAATCGCCTCTTATCTTACAATTTTCAGTTGGCAGGCTTTGTTTCAGAAAACTGCTTAGATCTTTATTTTATAAACCTAAAATAGCATTCTAAGCATCTTAACCTAATATTTCTCTATCTGCTGTGAAAGCTCATTATGCTCTGCATATATTGTTATGCAGGCTTTTCCTTGTTTCTCTTGCACTACCCATGGAGAAAGAAAAGTGAAGAAACAATGCAAACAATGTTGGTTATGACAACTGTGAGAGGTATCTCTTATACAAACAGACAGAATGGACGGTATGCTTTGGTATATAGGTCAGCCTTTGAAATAACATAGTGGAGCTCTTATGCTGGACAGATTTAGGGTTGAGATTATACTGTTCACCCCTTGAAACTTGAAGCATAATTGCAGTTCAGATACGTTCAGGCTAATGTGAGTAGTCTGTTCAGTTGAAGTTTATTTTAGGAAATGTCACATTCTGTAATTGAGTTGAATTATATAAAATAAATAACTTTGATAATCTAGGTGTCTTAATTTGATAGAATATGGCCAGTGATTTCAAGCTGCCGGAAGAAGTTGGATGATAATTTTGAATGTTTAAGTAGAGAGAAGTAAATAACAGTCTTGTGGCTTTCCCTATTGAAGTGTCACCTGCAAAGACCACTTTGATCAGTGCTGTAAGAAGGATAGGTATATTTTAATTTTCATATTTGCAACTTCACAGTGTTTTCAGATATCTGCTCACTTAAAGTGCAGTTATATAATTGTAGTTTGACACAGCTAATGACAGGGATGCTGACCTCTGCCATCAGTAGGCAGAAAATAATGGTCTTTACCGCTCCCAATGGTTAGCCTTGCAGAATTATGCACTGGATTCTTCTGTGATTTGCTACCTTGTTCAAAAATACAGGAGCCTACAACTCATCTTTCTTGTATTCACTGATAGTTATCAGTGCAGTGGAAAAATACAGCCAGGCAGCAGAGGTAAAATGATAGACTGCAGTTGTTTTTAAAAAGAGGAATAAAGAGGAGAAAGGAGGGAGAGGGAAGCAAAACCTTTCACATGAAAAAAACAGAGTGACATTGGGTAGAAGTGGATAAGGAGATATAATACAATGCTTTGTAAGCAGGTAACAATCCCGCTTGTAATCAGAATTCCATGGAGCAAAAGTGCATTTATTTATACTCAGCGTTTAGAGTAATTTATTGTGTAAACTTAACCCTACCATAGAGACTACTCTAAATAAAATGTTCCGTGGCTGTTTACAAAGTGTACATTATTTCCAGGGGCTTGCTTCCATCCAGTCTCTATCTCAAACTCAGAGTTGTGGCAAGCAGGCTCTCTGAAGGACAGCTCTAAAGCTGAAATACTATGTTACTGTTTTGACAGCATTTTAGGTTATGCTCATATTGTTTATCCTGAACATATTTCCCCTCCCCCTTAAAAAAATACCTTGTCCTCTACTGGCTTAGAATCATACTTGAAATTTGTTACTGTTTCATAAAGGAGAGATTAAACAGTTGCATTGGGGCGGACTGTTGATTTTCAAGTGTTAAGTCTTTTAGTTTCAAAAATACCACATATGAAGAATGGAAATGGTCTTTTCTTTCATATGTTAGTATGTAGTTTCAGAATTGTGGGCAAGTCTCAAGTGTGCCTCCTTAAATTCCAGTGTTTCAGAAAAGAAGTGGTCCCAGTTTTAGTGGAACATAGAAAATGATTTATGTATGTGCTTTTGAGAAATCTTTCTCAAAGATTTCTATAAACCAAAGCATTTGCAGTAATTTATTTTTTTCTTTCTGCCAAATATCAGTACCCAGAGAGGAATTGTTTTATTCTCATACTAGAACGATGTGTTTCATCTCTAGAGCATTACCCTCAATCAGCCTATCATGAGGTCTTATGAAAGAGAAGTGAA